CTGACCTTGATGGAAGTCAGCTGGGAAGACCCCGCAAGATATTCTCTCTTGCTTCATTCTGGCACACCCCATTGTAGGAAGGAAGATGTTTAAGAATGTTTGGGAGGTGTTTTTTTTTTTTTTAATTAAAACAAAATGGTTCGAGTTTTTCAATGGCCTTTAAATGTCAGGGGTAAGCTTGGCAGTTAGCCTGCCCCTGTGGCATTCGTGGCACAGCAAAGCGTATGTATCCTTAGCAGCAGCACTGCCCGGGGCATTACTGAGAAAGACAACTTAGTGCTGAAGTGCCCGACCACCGGCGCCTGCTCACCTGGCTGGGCAGTTTCTGGACCTCCAGTGATATCTCACTTTATATTTACTCCCTTGGGAAGTCTCCATAGCTGCATGTCAGCCTGCCCACTTCAACAATGGCAGCCTGGGCTTCGCCTTCTGAGAACCCAAGTTTGTCTATTTCCTCGAACTCTTAAGAACATTCTATTGGTAACAAAGCAGCACCCCAGGGGCATCAGCTCAGTACTGTAGTCTTGTTTGAATGGTGCAATGTGGACTGAGTTTATTTACCTAAAGACCAAGCTTTTGGGAAAGGAGGGCACAGCAGGACTCTTCTTGCTGACAGCATGTGACTTCACCTGGGTTTCAGCAGTGATATCTGTCCTTCGGTCTTTAGAATGTTAACATTATTTGGTTTCCTCTCTGTTAGTGGACAGCATATTTCTTGCCCTGTTCCTTGATCCCTTGGGGTACAAAATCAAGTCCAGACGCTGATAAATAAGAGCTGGGCATAGTCTTTGAACTCTCCAAGAGGGCCATCGTTAGTGTAAATGCTTTCTGCCTAGTTCCTGCCACTTGTTTGGTGCTGTGGCTTCCTCCCAATTCTAGTTCCCGGTTCCTAACAACCCCCAGTTCTGTCCCATCCAAATGGCTGCTAAGGGTCAGAAACAAACCGACACTTGTTTTAGCTTTTATTACTTTTAGCAAATACCATGCTCAAAATCGCAGTCATCTTTGACTCCACATGTAACCTGTAAGATCCTGGAGGGCAGAATACCATCCTTCACATTACTTTATGTTCTTGGTTTGCAACAATCTTTTATCTATGGTTATGTGGCCAAAAAGTTTGGTACAATTGTTTATTTTTCTTGCTGACAATTCTTTTCTTGCTTAGTTTGCAGATATATAATGGAAAGTTTTGGCTACTGATACTGTGAAAATCATGGGCAATATTTCATTCCGTTTCACTCTAGCCCCACCTTACCCTTCAAGGTTAATCCCAGGCTCTTTGCTCTTTGAATTTATTACTGTCTTTCACAAAAAATAAGCCCCACTTCCCTGTGTGGAATCAGTCCCCCTGGTGATCATCTTCTATCCATGTGAGACTTGAGTAGGGCCTTCAGCTGTCCCGTCTCCAGATGGGTGGGTGAACGGTCCTGGCCTCCACCCAGGCTGCTCGCCTGCTGCAATCTCTCTCCTGAGGCTGCTGCATTCCCTGTCCAGTGTTTTGTTTGATGGGATATATTTTTTTGTGAAGCCTTGAGACTGGAAGAGAAAGCTCTGTTCTCAAGCTTGTGAAAACCCAGGGTGTCTAATCTATTCTCTTTCCTCTGAGCTTCATGATCTTGAATCTGTGGTGTGGCCAGACACTTGAGCAGCTACCTGGCTTCATCCATAAGAGAAACACCTTTTGTCTCCGGATTGGTGGCCCCGCTTCTCCCAAAGGCTCCCTGACAGGTATTAGCAGTAGCCTAGATGCCTAGCTACCTTACCTCCCCCCACGCCAGATCTCTTGTACCTGCACCTGAGGCTATTTGTAAATAAAAGAGAACACCTCCCAGTTCTGCTTTATTTTTATAGCAGCAGGAGAGACCAGTAGTGACTCAGACATGGACACTAAAGGCATCCTCCCCTTCTTTTCATCATTTTCTTTTCCCTTATCTCCAGCCTAGTTTAACATTTTCCTGTGTAATTACAGCCAGTATATGAATATTTTTGGAGACATTTATAAATCTATTTGCGACACCAAAATGCAAGATACTTCAGGGTCTGTTACCAGTAACCACCATTGGTGATAAATATATTTGCAAAATGAATGATTAAATCAGAGGGAAAGAGGAGGCAGTCTACATTGGTGCGTGAGCACCCATGTTGTATTAAATACTAGGTATAAATATTAAGTAATACTATGTATTAAATAAGAGACATAAAGTAGTATGAAGGATAGTATTCTGCCCTCTGGGATCTTACAGGCTACATACATGTGGAGTCACAGATGACTGCGATTTTGAGCATGGTATTTGCTAAAAGTAATAAAAGCTAGCATGTATTATACTTTTCCATATGTCAGGCATTGTGCTTAGTATTTTACATACATAGTCTCCCCCAGGTCATACAACAACTATGTGAAGTAGATATTTGTGTCTCTTCAAAGAGTTAGTTTCTGCCCTGGGCAAGTTCACTATAGATTCGGTGTGACCAAAGAAATGGCAGTAGAGCATTCTTGGGGTGAAAGGGTTATCCCAACTTTATTTCCACTGTGGCAGGTTAATCACTAGCCACTCAGAGCGAGTCTACACGCAGCAAGCCAGTCGCTGCCTCTGGGCTCCTCTGCCCGCACAGCCGTCCTCTGGGCCTCTGTCCTCAGCACTGCCACCACTCCAGCCTCTGCTTTGCTCTCCTGTACCCATGTCTCCCAGAGCACTGGGCAGGGCTCTCTATACATGGTCAATAATGATGCATTGCCCATACGTGTGTAGTGAGCTAGACAACCAGGGCCAGGTGAGATTCCTGGCCACAGGAACCTTCACTTTATCCACGCTCTACCCCTCCAGGATTCTCGAGTCTCAATCTATGTGCCCTCAGTCCTCTGCAATGGTCCCTGTGCAAGAAAGCTGGAGCATTGTAACCAAATTCCATAATAACATAATATAACATACAAATAACAAAAATTACAACAAATTAAAATAAACCAAGCCTGAGTAGATCCATTGCCACCAGGTGGTCATCCTGGCTATATTCAAACCAGTTCTACGCAAATGAGTCAACCAAAAGAACCGTGGGTGGGCCTTACAATACCCACCTCCTCCAGCCTCTCCAGCAGAAAGTCTTGCAGACACACAGGCTGATCTTGTTGCTTTATCTCTGCCTTCTGCTTCCTCCTCAGCAGCCAGAACCGCTGCTCCTGTACTAATCGCTGCCACAGCTCCAGTCATCCAATTTCTTTCCGTCTGCTCCTTCCTTTTCAAACCAACCCATATCTGGGTCCTCGTGACCTTCACGGGGTCCTTTAAATTCTTCCTTCGAGAAGCAGAGTGTATTTCCTTTTGCGCTTGAGCCTGAGGATAGAAGCAGAGCATGGAGTGCTCCATGACTTGGGGAGGGGGCTGCACGTCTCCTGGAAGAACCCATGGATGCCGAGTCCTTCTGGCTTTCCACCAGCTTTCAACCAGGTGGAGTCTCAACCAAGGGGCCGATGCCTCCAGCACGAGCAGGGCCTCCACCCCCACCTGTTCGTCAAACCTCCGCTCCTCCATTTCTGGGGCTGATGGCTCCACTACATCCTTCACCTGCTTCACGGCACCCGGCAGCCTGCACTCCCACACTGCTGCTTCTCATGCCGCTCCTTCTTGGGCCACTGCTCCTTCTCTGCTGCTTCCTCTCGGGCCACCACGACATCCTTTACTATTTCCACAGCACTTCGTAGTGATGCCATTTCAGTCAGCAGAAATTTTCTTTCTTTTGGGGTGGACCCCAGTCTTCCACCCCTTCACAGTACTACATGTCCACAGGGGAACACTTGAGTGTCTCCCTGTCCATAGGTGCATCCTGCTGAAACACTCCTTCCATGAGGCCAGCCTGTTCTTTTTCCTTGGTCACCAATGAACCCTGCTGATGTCACCAGTTGTCTTGCCAATGGGTTTCTGCCCTGGGCAAGTTCACTATGGATTCAGTGTGACCAAAGAAATGACAGTAGAATGTTCTTCGGGTGAAAGGGTTATACCCAACTTTATTTCCACAGTGGCAGGTTAATAACTAGCTACTCAGAGCAAGTCTGCATGCAGCAAGCAGGTCACTGCCTCTGGGCCCCTCTGCCCACACAGCCATCCTCTGGGCCCCTGTCTTCGGCGCTGCTCTCTTGCAGCTGTGCCACCCAGAGCACTGGGCAGGGCTCTCTATACAGAGTCAACAACAATGCATTGCCCACACATGTTTAGTGAGCCAGCCAACCAGGGCCAGGTGAGAATCCTGGCCACAGGAATCTTGACTTTATCTGCACATTATTACAGCAGTTTTACAAATAGGGCAGCTGAGGCCTTGAATGGTTCAGTTACTTGGCCAAGATCACAAAGCTAACAAGTGATAGAGTGTGAATCCAGGTCAGTCTGGCTCCAGAGACCTAATACTTCATCAATCATTCTGTTTTTTGTCTCTCTCATTCTGAGTGAAAAACTGATGGTTCTGTTGTCTAAAATATAGCCACAGAACAGAGCCAGAGCTTATTTGAAGAGGAAAATGACACTGAGTTAACATTTGCGGATTTGATGTAAAAGTCAGATAGTAAAGAGAAAATGTCTGAGGATCAGCTGGGATGGCTCTCAGGAGGCAGAATGGCTGGGGATATCAGTACAATTTAGGTGAGAAATCCATTTATGTAAGTGATGGTTCAGGCAGGGAGGCTGTGAGACCATAAGGAGCGAGGAACGTGAGCTAGAGCTTCCTGCCACACCTCAGTACACGTGTTTCCTGTGCGTCTTACTTGCAATTCCTGGTCTCGGTAACCCACAGGTGCCGTGACTGAGAGCCTCTTGTTGCTGCTGTGATAGTGTTGCTCTTTCCCACCTGGAGTGAGCTCAGCTCTACCCCAGGACCACTGCCTCTGCCTTAGCAGATTCAGTGGCATTCTGATCTCATGCCAGCCTCATTAGAAGTGTCACAGACCATCCTTGCTGGACACCAGGCCTAGTGAGCCCCTTTTCCTCACAAATTCTCCTTTTCTCCTGACACAGGTATTGAATGCCCCAGAGGAGCCCGAAACCTCCCAGGCTTGGTGCAGGAGGGAGAGCCCTTCAGCGAAGAAGCAATGCTCTTCACCAAGGAACTGGTGCTGCAGCGAGAGGTAGGATATCTTCAGGTGCTCTTCGTACAGGGAGGGTGAGAAAATGGGGCTCCCCTGTTGTGATGTTTTTTGCCATGGCCAGAGGTCAGTCTGTCACTGGGGGAGCTGGTGTTACCAGCCTTACACATCCCTGTTCCATTCTGTGTCTACCACATCCTATCTCCTTGATCCTGGTGTTGCTGGCCTGCCACCCCCAGATTGTGCCGCACCATTGGTGGGGGATGTGTTGTGAGCACCAGGCCCGACTAGCCAGGCTCCTGATGCAGAGAGTTTACGGCTTTGCAGTCCTTCTCCTCTGTGAATTAGCCTGAGCTGCCTGCCTCCAGCTGGATTTAGAAGCTTGACTAACCCTGTCAGGGGCCAATTTTCTTTGAACATTTATTTGTATCTTTGAGTAATTGCATTTTCTGTAGCAGGTTTTCTGACTTAATTTAATTGTAATTCTGTTTCTGCCTGTTGGGCTGGCTTTTGCAGGCAAGAGTTAAGCTTCTCAGCTGCTGTGGTGCCCATCTACCTGCTCGTTTTTATCAAGTCATAGTCAGCAGATCCATCTCCCTTCTAGGAGTATGTCAGTCATTCATCCTGCTATGTGGGTACAAGAAAGGAACAGTAGGGGAGTGTACTGGGCTCAGGCTTAGGATTTTAGATCTGCCTCTGTCCTCATTTCTTTTACAGTCAACTCTGCCTTCCATGCAATACCATAATTTTCTCAGAGCTAAAACATTATGGTGTCCTTATGGGTACCTGGCTCATGGGTCTTTATAGATCCTTGAGATCAGATGTGTGGGCTCCTTTGGGAGGTTAACTGAAACAAATACCTTTTCAGAGCTTCAGCATCTCTTATGTTGATTTGAATTACCAACAAACATACTGGATATGAGAAGCACAGGAGGTCAGCCTTGCCCAAGGAAGGCACTTATGTTGGACCCCCTTGCCCTCGCTGTTGGGTGCCATCTCTTTGAGATTTCTCTAGCATTAGCCTTCTCGTTTTGTGAAAGAAAGTGGTGCGGCAGAAGAAATCTGAAATTCTTAGTTCAAGAGATATGGATTCTACTTCCCCAAAATCAGCCACAACCAGGTCTAGGTAGCAGTTTTTTGGCTGTTGGTATAGTGGCGGTTAGGGGAGGGGGATGCTAACTCCTCAGTTATCTCCTCCGTCTCACATTGGCTGTTTTGTTTTGGTTAAAGATGGATGTATGTTTGTGAAGCGGAAATCTTTATATTGTCATACAGGGTGCCTCCTTTGCCCCCTGCTTTGGAACCACACAATGTACCTTGAATTTTTATCAAAGAGCTCCCTGCTAGAGAAGTGTTTGAAGAATCCAAGCACTCCAGTTAGACAACTTAGACAACTGAGCAGCTGTTGCCATTTTTGATATAGCACAGGAACTAGGTAGAAGGGGCAAATATTTAGAATTTTCCCTCTCTAGACTTCTGGATAACAAACTACAGAGCAGTTTCATGTTGGAAAAAGCAGCTAAGTCAGTTCCAGATCTGACTTAAAAACATTGCAGAGGTCGCAGCGGCAGATGTCTATGTGCCGTGCGCTGGCTAGTGGGAGGTGAAGCCATTGTTGGATTGCCTAAGACGTTTGTTCCTTACCTTCTCTTCGCTTACTATGTACATCACATTCCTGGTTGCCTCTCATTTCTCACCATCAGCGTCTTCCTATTGTTTCACATCTCCTACTAAAGTTTCTCACCCCTTCTTTTTCAACTCTTGTTTCTCCAGCCACTTTTCTTCCTGATCATGTTTCTGGCCTGATGATACCCCAGTGCACAAAGACGGTCAGAGAGAATACTGACACTAAATGGAGTGGCCCTGAACTCTGTTGCTCTCTCGTGAATATTATGGCCCTTACTTTGTGTATTTACTGATACTTGATTGTTGAAAAGATTTAAAAAAAAAAAACAACCTTTCCTGTCTTCTTTGATGCCCCTGGAATGTGAGTGAGCTTGCAGATCCTTAGTCTGACCCAAAGTGTGGGTATTTATCTTTCTTGGTTGCAGCATTCCAATCTGTCAAAGCCGGGGTTGATGATCTTGATAGAGAGCCTTTATCCGCATTTTCTTAGATGCTTATCTGATTACTTGGGCTGACTGTTTTCAAAGATCTTTATCCAGAGGAGAGATGAGTACGGGCTAAACTAAGGATAATTTGGGATTTTGACTAAAGGAACAGGTTATAGCCTATTCTCCTGGGAATTTCCCTTCATATAATTTATGGAAACTGTTTTCTGAATGGTGTAAGAATGAAGGATGGTTTTTGTTACGGATCTTTTCGCTTACTTTTACCTGTATAGTGCCTTTATGTTCATTCCGTAAGTTGTCCTTGAACACTTCTCTTTGCCCTCCTCTTCCCACCCTAGAAGAAAAGTACTAATCGCAAGGATGCCTGGGTATCCTCCCTCTCACGGAGCTCTTGCCTTTAGGGCAGCCTCCACTGTGCCCCTTCCCACTCCAGGAGCTCTTCTGGAGCTGAGCTGCTGCTCTAATGGCCGCAGTCAAACTGGGTTCCTTCGTTCCTTCTGCCTATTCCCTTGATAATCAGATTTGGCTCAAATAATTAGGTATGGATGCTGCCGGGGTTCTTGTTCGTGGAGCCGAAGAATGAACTACACAAACACAAGGTAGGAGAGTCAGGCAGTGGCTTTTATTTAGAGATAAAATGAGAGTACAGAGCTCCTGCCTCACACCAGGAGGGGCAAGAGAGTCTGGGGTTGTGCGTTGCCTAGGGGATTTATAGGCAGTTGAGGGTTTTGGGGAACTGATAAAGGGCTTAGGGATGTAGACTTGTTAAAAGTGGTTTTAGGATGTTTGTTCTTGATGAGACATTAAGTCCCTTTTAGCATGCTAAAGTGAATCTTACACATCATTAAATGATTAGCATAATAAAAACATGGGCTACTTTACTTTATCTGGGGAATATCAACTGATCTCACTGAAGAAAGACTCTAGAACTGAATGTTTAACACGGAGTTTTGGTAGGGGGTTTCCTTGCATGTAGTTACACTGCTCTGACTGTAATTATCCTGCCTTGCTTTTTCCAGAGGCCCTCACCCTACTCTGACTACACCCATAGTCCCTGTCTCATGGGTAAGACATCTCTCCCCTTTAAATTTTTCTCTTTATTATCTTACTTTTGGCCAGGATTTCTCTACCTCCTGCCTGCTTTTCCCAGTTACTGTAAATCCACATTATCACATAAGAAAGGGTAAGCACACAGAGCTCATGATTTCACAGCATCTCCTGGGCTCCATGTGATCCTGCAGAAGCATGTCCATCCAGCTGGGCTCACACATATGAACCCCATAAACTAACTTGAGAAGGATACAGTGTGGCAGAGGGACTGTGTAAAAGACACTGCCCCAGGTCAGCCTCCTGCCAGGGAACAGACAAAAAGCTGGGGTACAGAATGCCTGGCCCTGACAAGTAACCCCTTGTTAATGAAATGCATTGTTTTGGCTTTGGGTAGCCAGACCTGGAATTGGTACCTGTCTCTTTCTTTGTTTTGAGTGAAGAAAGACTTGCAGACTTTCTGTGCCATATCCTCACGGGGAGCCTGCACATTCTCAGATCTCTGTACATTTCAGATGACCCCCTATTATCTCCAGACCTGATAGCCCTGCTTTCCTTCAGTATGTTTTATAAGACACAAGCCAGCACGGGGCTACCAATACTGTTGGCCGTCACTCAGCTCCATTTTCCTGAACGCCTCCCCTTGCCACTTCTCATTGCCTTTCTTCTTTTCCTCTTTCTGTGTGGTCCTTCGCCTTGGTTCCTGTTGGCTTTTGTTCCTTTCCCTATGGTGGTAGATGTAACTCCAGGGGGGAAAGTGTGTTCCCAGCCCTGGGGCAAATAAACCAGAGAAACCTGTGAAGCCAAAATCAATCAAAGGGAAAAATAAAGTGGGAGAAACCCGTTTATTGCCTACAAAAAATTATCAACTCCATCGCATCCTTGTCTCTCCAGTCCCAGTGCTTGCTTGCCTATCCACCCACCTGGTAATCACCTATTGGTATGGAAGTTGGGTTACTTCTCTCCACCCCTTGTAAACACCTATTGATATGGAGGTGCCCTCAGGCCAGGTGAGAGGTTATGGAAATACTGCACTTTTACCCCTAGTAGACTGGAAAGCTGTTCAGGTCACTGATCCAGTGGTTCTGGCATTCTTGCCCCAGTACAAGAAGAACAGCAAGTTTGACACCTAGTCACTATCTGATTCTCTTTGTGACCTTAAAGGCCAAAGCAGCCAAGGAGCTCTCAGGCACTTCATTCCTGTTTTTACCCAAAGGAAATCCAGCAAGTTCAACAGTTCTTCCCAGCTTGACTCAGTTGGTATGTAGCAGATGTGGCCGGAGATGGGCATATCTGGCCCACTGCCAGTTTTTGTCAGTAAAGTTTTATTGAAACACTGATCGTTTTATGTGCTGTGTGTGGCTGCTTGCTTTCGTGCTGTAACAGCAGAGTTAAGTAGTTACAACTGAAGCTATATGGCCAACAAAGCGTAAAACATAATCTGTCTTTTTACAGAAAAAGTTTTCTGACCTATGCTGTACAGGGTATGCAGAGTTGGGCTCCTGTGTTCCCTGCCTTTGATGCTGAGCCACTTCTGGACCATACATCACAAGATCATTGTGTCTGTTGCTGTAGCTGAGACTGAGCTATGAGGGCTATGTCCCATTGGATGTTACTTACTTAGTGACACCACCTTTGGTGTCCCTCCCCCAAGTACAACTGCCTCTTTCAGACAATTCCCTGCCACACTGCCAGGGACAGGACGGTCCAGTGTGATTTCCCAGATGGGGAATTGGATCTGTTGCTAGCATCTTCCTAGAAGTAGTAGTGAGAGAGAGCGTTTCCTAATGGGTAGATAACCAGCTGAAAAGTGCAAGCTCCTAGTTTTCACACTCCAGTTACCATGTGTTCCCAGGTAAGTGATTCTTTACTGCTTTGGTATCCTAAAACATTGATCTCACAATCCCAAACCATCCTCTTCCTTTTGAGGCCCTTCCTGTAATTCAGCAGTAATTTGGGATCTCTTCACACCTTCTCGCCACCAGGCCAGCCAGCCAGCACTCAGGACCAGCTGCTGCTTGCACAGCACTGAGGTAGCTGTCAGAAAAACCTGTGCCTTTAGGGAAGGGGCGATAGGTGTTAAGAGACCAGTGCCACAGTTCCAGGCTATAGGAAGTGTACTTCCCCAGGGTGGGTGGGGGGCAGGATATATGGAGGATTGGTGATCATTTCCAATGCCTTTCTCGATGACCTCTCTGTCCTCTCTGAGATCTCAGAAAAGGCCCTTGCTGCTGCCTGGGAAATGATGTCCTTGTGCTGGACAGCTGGAGCTGAAAACCAGCTGCTACCCTGACCTATTTCCCTTCTTCCTGCTGACATTAAAAGGGAGGATATCCCCTGGGAGCTCATTTTGCAAGCTGCAGTGGCCAGGGCACAGTCCTGGATCCCCTTTCTCCCACTTAACCCTGCTTTTTTAAAAACAAAACTGCATAAAAGCATTATAAGCAAATGTTGCTATTTGAAGAAAGAACACATACTTACGTTTCAGAGGAAATTGATTCAGCAGTGAGTTTGGGAGGGATATTTGGTAATGAAAACTTAAAAAGGAAAATAGTGCCTTCTCCTTTGTTTTAGCACCAAGTGTGCTGCATCTTGTCTGTAAAAGATAACTGGTCTCAGCAGCTTAGGTCAATCTAAATTTTTGTTTCCCCAAAAGCACTGTGGTATATCCTCTCTTACCCTCCCTATTCCCGTCTGTCTGTGTGGGTCCATTCCCTGTCCAGGAGACACATGGGAGGAGGAACAGTAGCAGAGTTATATCTCTGGATCAAAGCAATAAGGACAGTTAAAGCCACACCGAAATCCATGAGGGCAAAGGACCCCTGGTGGGATGAGGCCAGAGCAGCACTGCTCTCGGACACTCCCTGAGTGCTGAGCCATGAATAATACATTGCCGGGTAAGCAAGCTGGTTTCCAGCCATGTGTCACTTATTTACACCAAGACCCCCTATTTTTAAAAAAATTTTTATTAAGGTATTATTGATACACACTCTTATGAAGGTTCACATGAAGAAACAATGTGGTTACTACATTTACCCATATTATCAAGTCCCCACCCATACCCCAATGCAGTCACTGTCCATCAGTGCAACAAAATGCCACGGATCCACTATGTGCCTTCTCTGTGCTACACTGTTCTCCCCGTGATCCCCCACACCATGTGTACTAAACATAATACCCCTCAATCCCCTTCTCCCTCCCTCCCCACCCACCCCCCGACACCCCTTCCCTTTGGTAACAACTAGTTCATTCTTGGAGTCTCTGAGTCTGCTGCTATTTTGTTCCTTCAGTTTTCCTTTGTTGTTATACTCCACAAATGAGGG